CGGGTGGCACCGGGGCGGGAGGTGCTGCTGGAGCTGAGTCTTGCTCCAGAATATCCAGAAAGGGATTTCGGCTCGGATGGAGTGTTTTGCACAGGGATGCCCGGGCGGCCTCTTGGAACTCGGCTGAGCCTCCTGTTCTGCATCTCGGTGGGGCTGATTTTACTCCTGCCCTCGGCGTTTTCCAGCTCAACAGCTCACACCCCCGCTTTGCTCCCATGTGTACTGTTGGCTCAGGTGAATCCATATGCACCAATTTAGAGATGCACAGAAAACAGTCTGACGGCCTTGAGACCACAGGCTCTCTGCTGGGCTTTGGCTAGCCTGGAATGTCCCTTTACTCCCAGGCGAGCTGGTGTTGCAGGGATGGGATGGCTGCGGGGGCAGGTGGAGGGCAGTACGTGCCCCGGCGCATGTCAGTGCGCGCGGGCACTGGGGTTCCAGCCGGGCTCCCCTGCCCCTTGCGAAATGCGGGGCCTGGGCAAGCCCCTGGGCAGGGCTGGCGAGGAGCTGGCGCCCCGGCACGTCCTCGCCCGCCGGGTTTTGGTGCTGCACTGGGAATACAGCCCCGGCCGGCCCGGCCTGCGTCCCGGGCTGCGGCTCCTGGCCCCGTGCTGAGGTGGGCAGGGAAGGCCCCAGCACGGGGCTCCGGACAGACCTGCTCGGGGTGGGCACCCCCAAGCTGCTTCTTGACTCATCCCGGTTTTCCGCTGGGCAAATAGCTGCAATTAGGCTGGTGCCTGGCTGGGGAGGTGCGGGAGCTCTCACTGCGAGACGTGCCAACTTGATGTGTGTTTAGGGGCGACCGTCTTGGTGCTCGGCTCCGTGTCTCGGTTCTCCTTTACGTTCTTTAAATATCACTTCTGCTTTAGCTGCTTCCACCTGGCCAGGAGCTTTGCAAAGCAGAGACTCCCCCAGGGCCAGGTGGTTGATACTTGTGGGCCGCGCTGCCAGCCCTGGGCTGTTTCCCACCTCTGGAAAAGCTCCCACCGGAGCACCCCAGCTGAGTGGCACCGCGCGGCAGGAAATGAGCAATGCCCCACGTGCGTGTGGGTCTTCACCCTCCCACAGGACAAAGCTGTTTTCCAGGCTCAACCAGACAGTCGTTAGGCTGGTGGAGCCGCAGAGCTCGGCGGTGTCTGGGCAGCGGAGGCACCAGCCGCACGAGTGAGTCAGGCTGGCTCCGCGGGGCCCCGGGGAAACCACGTTTTGAAGGGCAAAGCACGAGCGCGGCGCCCGCTCCCGCACAGGGTCACGCGGCAGGAGCCGTCAGACCGCAGCGCCCAGCGAACAGGCCGGGCTGGTTATTGCTGCCCACAGAGAGCTCTTCGCTTTGGGCTGGTTCAGGCTCAATGCAGAGGCTGTGCGAGGGCGGGCGGCCTCTCCGGGGAGCCCCGTGCCTGAAGCCACTGCGGTCCCTGCGCCGTGTCCCCATGCACGTGCACCTCTGGGCAGAGCTCGTGCTTTGTTTAAATTGGCAAGAAAATTCATTTTTACCCCACGTGCATGCAGAGTGTTTTTAAGTATGGCCTAACAGATGACTTGGAGATTGCAGCCAGGGAACAGAGTAAAAAGGATAGAAAGGAGTTTTATTACAAATGTTTTCTGGAGAAAAGTTTCTGAAATGCCTTTGGGCTTGGAGAATTTGTCCCCATGCACTTGCACCTCTGGGCAGAGCTCGTGCTTTGTTTAAATTGGCAAGAAAATTCATTTTTACCCCACGTGCATGCAGAGTGTTTTTAAGCATGGCCTAACAGATGGCTTGGAGATTGCAGCCAAGGAACAGAGCAAAAAGGATAAAAAGGAGTTTTATTACAAATGGAGAAAAGTTTCTGAAATGCCTTTGAGCTTGGAGAACTGGGGGTTTATAGGCAGACTTACAGGTAGATGAAGCACCTGCCCTGTTTGCGAGCAGCCCTGCATGACTAAAGTGGGCTCAGAGTCTCCTGCAGCCTCGAGCACTGTCTGAGGTCCATCCTGGTCACAGCGCCTGGGGACACAGGTCCAGTGTCCCAGGGCCACCTCCCTGAGTCCTGTTCCTCAATGCCACAGGTCGGAGGCTTTTCCTGGGAGAACTGCGGTGATGGGAAGGACCCCGTGGTGCTGCAGAGCCTCTCCGTGGCACCGGACCCCATCACCATCCCGGGGAACCTGCGGATCAGCGCCGCCGTGACCGGCACCAAGGGCCTGACGTCCCCGCTGAAGGTAGGTGCCAGGGACCCGCGGGGACACGGCGCTGCGTGGGGCACGGGAAGGAGCAGCCGGAGGGAAGCGGCTGTGCC